GAGCAGAATAGTTTTTCCGGAATAGCGGCTGATTTTGTACAGTAGAGCGTCATTGCTTTTCCGGAAATTCAAGGACCAGCGTAGACAGCTTGCAACTTATTCCGGAAAAGCGGCTAATTTTCCGGAATAAGTGGCCCAGTGTAGACACAGCCTATGTGTTATTAATGTCACCTTCAGGGGACTGAATAATGCACTTTATTAGTGACATAGCAGTTTCATTGTCAACTTTTGACAGTGAAGTGGTTAATTTTCATAGAGCTTCCAACACCTGAAAGGGATTTGGATCGAATCTATTATTAGAATATGTCTGTGGTAATATTAGCTATTTCCAAAATACTGCAATATGATATTTGAACAGAATATTTTTCCACTGATGTTCTCAACTAAATATATCATGTTATTCAGTTTCCTTTCTTTCTTTTCTTCAACAGGCTTCTCAGAGCCATCATCAAGCTAAAATGAAAACTTTGGGGACTGAAGAAAGCAAAGTGCACCACTACCTTGCTTCTGAGAAATGAACTACTGGTCCAGCCAACTTTTCCCCTGACTATTCTTGGTAGCTTTAAATTGCCTGTTGCCAACATTCAAAGACACAACTATTGCTTCTTTCAGCACACATGGAAGAAGGCAGCAATGTGTGTAACCCTGGCTAATAAGACTGTGGCTTACCTATGAAGAGCAGGAGGCCGGCCAATCATAAAAGGATTATTTCACAGTTAGCCTCCAGGACTTGACCTCTGATCTGATCAGTGGACACAAATACAAGCAGATTCCAACAATCTGAGTTTTCACTAGGTGTGCTTTTTCATTGTTTTTATTTCTCTTTCTTTGGTATTTAATTTCTTCACATTGAAAATGGGCCTGTGGACGAGAATGTGGTTCAAAGACTGGGCTGCCTTCCTGAATTCCTGGCTTATAATTTCCCTGGGGCTCCTCATGCAGGTCTCCAAAACTCTGGCCTGCCCAAATGTGTGCCGATGTGACCGAAACTTTGTCTACTGTAATGAGCGAAGCTTGACCTCAGTGCCTCTTGGGATACCGGAGGGTGTAACCGTACTCTACCTCCACAATAACCAAATTAATAATGCTGGATTCCCTGCAGAGCTGCACAATGTCCAGTCTGTGCACACGGTTTACCTGTATGGCAACCAATTGGATGAGTTTCCCATGAACCTGCCCAAGAATGTCAGGGTTCTCCATCTGCAGGAAAATAACATTCAAACCATTTCCCGGGCTGCCCTGGCTCAGCTCTTGAAACTGGAAGAGCTGCACTTAGATGACAACTCCATCTCTACTGTAGGGGTTGAGGATGGAGCATTTCGGGAAGCTGTCAGCCTCAAGCTTCTATTCTTATCTAAGAATCACTTGAGCAGTGTACCAGTTGGCCTTCCAGTGGACTTACAAGAATTACGAGTCGATGAAAACCGAATTGCCATAATTTCAGACATGGCCTTCCAGAATCTCACGAGCTTGGAACGTCTTATTGTGGATGGCAATCTCCTTACCAACAAAGGTATAGCTGAGGGTACCTTTGGCCACCTAACCAAGCTCAAGGAATTCTCAATAGTACGGAATTCACTATCCTACCCTCCTCCTGATCTTCCAGGTACACATCTGCTGAGGCTCTACCTACAGGACAACCAGATAACCCACATACCACTTTCAGCCTTTTCAAACCTCCACAAGCTGGAGCGGCTTGATATTTCCAACAATCAGCTCCGGATGCTGGTGAAAGGGGTCTTTGATAACCTTCACAACTTAAAGCAGCTTACTGCGCGGAATAATCCCTGGTTATGTGACTGCAGTATTAAATGGGTCACTGAATGGCTCAAATTTATTCCCTCCTCCATCAATGTTCGGGGCTTTATGTGCCAGGGACCAGAACAGGTCCGAGGTATGGCTGTAAGGGAGCTCAATATGAATATGTTGTCATGCCCTACCACTACACCTGGTCTGCCAATTATCACCCCAGCCCCTGCTACCACCTTGCCAACCACACTGGCTCCCACTTCATCAGTTCCAAATCCAACTGATAAACATAGTCCTTTCCCACCCACTACATCCACACTCCCCACTGTGCCTGACAAGGAGGGTGGAGAAAGGGTGACACCTCCCATTTCCGAAAGGATCCAACTCTCCATCCATTTTGTGAATGACACTTGCATCCAAGTCCACTGGCTGTCCCTTTTTACTGTGATGGCATACAAACTCACATGGGTTAAAATGGGCCACAGCCTGATAGGGGGAATTGTTCAGGAACGGATAGTAAGCGGTGAGAAACAACACTTAAGCTTGTTGAATCTTGAACCCAAATCCACCTATCGGATTTGTTTGGTTCCCCTGGATGCTTTTAATAATTACCGAGCTGGAGAAGACACTGTCTGCTCAGAAGCCACAACCAAGGCTTCCCACTTAAACAATGGCAGCAACACAGCCTCCAGCCATGAGCAGACGACTACTCAGAATATGGGCTCCCCTTTTTTGCTGGCAGGTTTGATTGGGGGTGCAGTGATATTTGTGCTTGTAGTCCTGCTCAGCATCTTTTGCTGGCACATGCATAAAAAGGGGCGCTACACCTCCCAGAAGTGGAAATACAACCGGGGCCGGCGGAAAGATGACTACTGTGAGGCAGGGACCAAGAAGGACAACTCCATCCTGGAGATGACGGAAACCAGCTTCCAGATTGTCTCCTTAAATAACGATCAGCTCCTTAAAGGAGATTTCAGACTGCAGCCCATTTATACCCCAAATGGGGGCATTAACTATACAGATTGCCACATCCCCAACAACATGCGATACTGCAATAGCAGTGTTTCAGATCTGGAGCACTGTCATACGTGATAGTGAGGGGAAAGTGAGATGCATAGAACTATGAGCAAAAACTCTGGAAAAAAAATCCACACACACAAAAATTACATTTGATAAATGTTACACAGATGCATTTGTGCATTTGAATACTCTGTAATTTATACGGTGTACTATATAATGGGATTTAAAAAAAGTGCTATCTTTTCTATTTCAAGTTAATTGCAAATGGTTTTGTAACTCTTTGCTTTTTAAATCTTTAAAAAAAATTGCTAAAGTACTGTACAGGGTTGTACAATAAGAACCCAATGCCATGGCAAAGGAAAGAAAGACTCATTCTTCAAACATTAACCACTTTGCTGTCGAAGCTGTCTGCAGGATGTGGGTCCCTAAGCAGTCCTGTAGTACAGGACATAAATGTTCATTAAAACAGGGTCTCTAGGGATGGGCTAAGCCAGTTCTGATAAAATAGGTATAACCCTCTCACTCAAACTCATAATGAACTTCTGAAGTTCAAACAAGCTGGAGTAACTCTGTTCCCCATCTATCTTTTTCACCTGCTTCTGTATTTCTTGGTTCCACCTAGAAGTGGGAGTTCTGAAGTGCTACCACAGAGGCTGTTTCAGGTTTTTTTTTTTCTAATGCAAATGGACATAAAAAGAAGAAAACCCTTTCTGCAAGATGCAGAGTCCCCTGTGTTCCCTTTTCACAAGATCTGGTCAGAAAATGTCCCAGAATATCAGATACATGATTATGTATTTTTCATTAAAAATTAAGAAGGCTGAAACATTTTCTGACCAACTTTAATGGAAAATTAGGGTACTTACAACCTACCAGGTGGCTTTCCTCAGATCACATCATTTCCAGAGAGAGCAATTTTTGTAGAGCTAGCATGTTTAGATAAGGCCTGAACCTGTGAGATGCTGTGTGTCCTGAACACCCATTGAATGTCCACATCTTATTGGATTTACCATGTCTTCATGGCAATGTACCCATCCAAATCATTAAAATCCTCATACAAAATTCCATTGCAAAACTTCCAATGATTGCTGTGGATTTTGGATTAGACCCAGATTGATTTAAAGGTATGAATAAAGTTTGGGACAGAGGAGTATGAAGAAACTATCTGACAAGCAAGAAAAGGTGGGGTTTTTTTGAAAGCTCAGCTATGAATTTAATTCATTTCAGTGGAATAATCACGTCAATGTCCTATTGTTTTAAATAAATGCATAGGGGCACTAACTAAACATTTGGTGATTCAAGGGATTTGCATGGATACTAGTCCATATTGCCCCTTTTATTCTCCCTTCAATCCTTTGTCTTTTGCCCTCAGTCCATATTGCCCCTTTTATTCTCCCTTTTATTCTCCCTTCAGTCTTTTGCCCTCTTTTTTTCATCAAAGATCTGTGCTTTAAAAGTAGTATTTGGGCATAGGTTTTGCTTTATGCTGCATTCAGCTCCTCAGTTGGAATCAAATCTGTATCTCTGGGTTTGACACACACTTTATGGAACATCCTGCTCCTACTAAAATCATGAAGTTGCTCTGAAAGTTACATAAAGTTCCAGCAACTCCACTGACTCCTGTGCTTGCCAAAAAGCTTGGGTTCTCTCGCCAACTCAGTGGTGGATTTCTTTCTTTCTTTCTTTCTTTCTTTCTTTCTTTCTTTCTTTCTTTCTTTCTTTCTTTCTTTCTTTCTTTCTTTCTCTCTCTCTCTCTCTCTCTCATTTTGGCTTACTCTTTTTCCTGAGCCTAGGAAACATGCACAAGTTCACAAAAATGAGGAAGAAGACTACACAGATATCAGTAAAACCCTTATGCAAACAGCTCTCGGGGCTTGTTTTTCTAAAATTTGTCCATGGAAGGAGGGAATGCATGCTATGGTGACCACAGAAAGGTTCAGCAAAAGTTGGTGTCACAGTAAAAGTGATCTTTTAATTAAAGATTGAACAAAATCACTCTGAAAAACTCGGGGTTATATGATGATGGTTTCTTATGTTGGGGGAGAGAGCTGTGGTCCTTTCCTCTGTCAATTTCATGATGCCCATCCCTGAACCCCAGCAGTCTAAGTGTGCAGCTTATAAAATGGCATGAAAACATTTCTCTTCTGCACTGCAGAGATTAATCCAATCTTTAGTTATAGATAGCAGAGTACAATCATTATCTAAGGAACAACCGTCCCCACCCATGCGTTTTATAATCCCAGTTTGGAATTCCATTCTATATTCTGTATATTTGCTATTTTCTCTGGCTATGACCAGTATTTTAGGCAACCTGTGTGGCTACTGTAATAGTAAAGTCACTGAAATTTTGCTGAATAAAAGGCTGCCATATGATCTCAAATTGTGTAATTTTAGGTAGAAACGTCTATGCAAAGTGTTTTTTTCTAGTATGTGATCTATTTACTCAAGATAATGGAGAGAAGACTATATATTTTTTGTTGTTTCATATGTTTTAGCTGCCAAGGGCCCACATGACGAGCAGCAAGACATGTGCATGTGCACACACCTGTGGCATGCAATATACATGAGAGTTTATTTTAGATTAAGTAGAGTTAGTGAATTCATTCTGGGTGTGGATGTAATATTTAATTTCACTGACATAGCTAGTTTTATGTCTGGTTTGGAAAAGCCATCTCATATAGTTAATAGTGGTTCCCAGTCCTTGGTATGTGTACCAGTACTGGTATTTCATGGTTCAATGTCTAATACCGCAAGAACTTTTCTCTACCTTAATTATAATCAGCTGTTCTAGGTCTCAAAACATCATTGTTACTAGAGCTAGGTGAATTATTCACACCCAATTGCTTCTTCAGTGACTTTAGCACATTATTTCCAATTTTGAATTATCTATGCACAGAATGGTTGATTTTATTGTTCTTGCAATTCAAAATTGTTTAATGAATACTCATATGAATGTGATACAGATTGGGAGTTGTTCGCAAACTGTTAAGTTTGACTACATCTTGGACTATTCATGGTTCATGATTGGACCAACTAAGTCACATGTCATTAATTCTGTTCCCTGACTGTTGAGGGGAACTTTTATACACAGTAGGAGGGAATCCAAGACATTTCAAAGATGACAGAGTTTGGGCTTCTGGTAGTGAACCTTTGTACAAATGTATTGGCATGGAGTGTTAATTGGACTCCTTTTCCATGAACATTATGTTGAAATAAACCCCACTTTAACTAAATTTCCCTGACAAATTTAAAGAAGTGTGAGTATTAGCTACACAAACCCACTATTTTATTCAAACAAATGTTTAGATACGTGTTTTGGAAGTATTTTTGTCAACTCTCTTACCCATTTCTCATCAAGCTGAACACACTTCAACACAATGGAGTCTGGATTATTTCAAATTAGATTCCACAGTCATACAAACAGCTGAAGTTCCATTTTAGCATATAGTTGAATAAGATTATTTTTGTTAAGAGGTTTTCAAAAGGAGGCTGGATAGCCATCTTTCCTGGATGGTTTAGATACCACAAATCCTGAATCTTGACATTGGATTAGACTAGATAACTCTTGCGATCCTTTTGAATCTATGATTCTAAGCAGGTGATAGACACTAACTGATGTCTGAATCTGGTAAGGTGCCTGAAAAGACTGGAAACCTATTAGCTAAAAATAATTGTTGACAAGGCTATTTTTGTGATTGGACAATTAATATTAAATTACTATCACAAGCTCTCATCTTGTCCAGAGTATATTCCAAACAGATTAATGCTTCTTATTATAGGATGTGCCTCAATTAGTGTAAAATGTGCATATTTATATTAGCTAGTATACGTCATGGAGAAAAGGTCAAATCTGTGCATACAAAACCCAAACAGAACCTCTGAAATGTGAATTTGCTGTTCCTTATTTAGATAGATCTGGGTTGCACACATTCATTAGAGTCTATGTGCTCAGGAGTTGAACTTGCACATGAATGAAAAGCTGACCCATTGTTTACAATAGAGTCATCCACTATATGTGACTATATAGAACAGATCACTGTAGGGAATAAAAAAGGGTTGAAATGAAATGATGTAAATTAAATATCATGAAAACATCACAACAACTGTTATTTGTACTCACTGTGTTTGTTTTCCAAAGACTTTTTTTTTTCAAAATAGTCCAAATTTTCATATACTCTGCCAACGTAACAAACCTTCACAGCATGTAGCAGCAGAATAAAAGCAGAAACACCTGGTGGTCACACATCACTGACAGCATGGTTTTCATGGAGAAGTCCGTCAAATGACTCCTTTGTAAGAATATTTATGGTCTGCGCTCCCCCTGGATGACAATAAATTAGGAGTTTTCCATGTGGGACAATAAATACATGAAATGAAGCTGATATTAAATGTGACAATGAAGTAGCTAATGCTACAGTTCCATTTGCTACTGGACCAGCTCACTTTTTATTTTATTTTTTTCCAATCATTTTAAGTTTTTATTAGAGTGAGAAAGTTCCTCTGTCTGAGAAAACAATCCCTCCTAATATTGAAAGCAAAGAAATCCAAATTTAATGTTTAATTGGTGTAGCCTTCAGGGGACTAAATAAGGCACTTTATTAGTGACACTAAATAGCAGTTTCAGGCTCAGCTATTGACAGTGAAGTGGTTAATTTCCATCTAGACCTTTGTTTTTAGCATTTCTTTGCTCTAACTTATAACAGAGGCATTAAAATTTTACTTCAGAATATGAGAATAATGGTTTTACTCATGACTTATTTTCCAGCTGCATGAAACAGCAAAACAGAAATTAGTGCCAAAAACAAAAGTAACTAGCTCTGAGCTTTATCAAATCCTGTCTGATGTTCTCCTTTTTTACACAAAGGATAATTCTAGGAAGCTGAAACTGACATCCTTCCCTAAGATCTACAGGATAGGTCAGTTTGCATCACAGAAGACGTTAGGCAATGCTTGTAAAAGATTTATTTGTGAAGTTTTTGCACAAGCATGGTACTGTGTTTTCTCTTCAATAGGACAGTTCTTTCTAGTAGCACACCCAGCAGCCTAGCACAAAGGGGATGCAGCAAGTACTGACTATACTGGGGACTGTAAAGAAACACATCCCATTAGAGTTTAATCCTCTTGAATTATAGACAAGGCACAGAAAAATGTTATGAATACTGGGTCCCAGATATAGTGACACCAAATATATTAATTGAAAAATAATTATAAAACATTGTTATTAACTGAGATGTGCAAATTTGATTCTTCTTTGTGTTTGATATATTTTATCTTTAACAAGAGAATACATGTGTTTTGAAGCCTTCATTTTCCATCTTCATAGACCTGCCATGTTTATCTTCAAAACTCCATTCTACACTACCTTGTTGGCTTATTTAGTAAAGACTTATTTAAAAAACACACACACACATAAAATCCTGCTGTGTTTATATAAGTACATGCATTAAAATTCAGACATTAATCTCTGATCTAAAAGGGAATGGAGTTGAAAAAAATCAGTATTCCACATTTTAATTGTGTATATTTTAAAAAAATGTTTTGCTATACATCTGCTCTCTCTTTAAATCCTAGAGACTTGCTTGTTTTATTTCTTTCTGTTCAAAACAGTTATGCCCCTATAAAAATTACTTTTTGGTGTCATTTTCTAGATAATTATCTTTGCTATAGACACATTCTTATCTTGATATGAATATAGGGAATCACTGTTCAAAAAGACAACAATATAACATAATGTTTGCATATAATGTATGTGTGAGTGTATGTGTAAATACATAGACCCTATGTGTGTATGTGAAGGTGATATCCAATCCATGGGTATGTCTAGACTACATGCCTCTGTCATCAGAGGCATGTAAATTAGACTACCTGACATAGTCAATGAAGCCAGGATTTAAATATCCCTGGCTTCATTAAAATAAAAATGGCCACCATGCTGTGCCCGCTCAGCTGATCGTCGGCACAGTGCGGCAGTCAAGATATGTATCGGACGACAGGGAACGCGTTTGTCGACTACTCCCTTATGCCTCATTAAATGAGGTTTACAGGAGCAGTTGACAAAGGTGTTCCCGTCGACCGATCCGCATCTCAACTGCCACGCTGTGCCGACGATCAGCTGAGCCAGCACAGCGTGGTGGCCATTTTAATTTTAATGAAGCCAGGGATATTTAAATCCTGGCTTCATTGACTATGTCAGGTAGTCTAATTTACATGCCTCTGGCGACAGAGGCATGTAGTCTAGACATACCACCTTGTGAGAAATTACAGAGCCATGGGATAAATGCATGTATCATTCTTTTGGTCCCTAACTGCCTTTTATCCATTACTCTATTTTCCATGAATGAAATATTCCTCTTCCCCCAAAAAGC